ACACACGTACACCTGTGCTGATTCCACCAGACCAATACGGTCCTGAATCTGACCCTCTGTGGGAGAGCCCAACCCCGAAGAGATGGCGCCCTCCTGTATGCTACTTGTGTGCAAGCTCCACACAGGGGGATCAATGGTCCCCAAACCTCTAGCTCCCGCAGAGGCACTCAGTTCAGTCCTTCCCTGCAGGCTCCTGGGACCCCACTTATGGAGCCACTCCCTCCGCCAGGGACCAGGTGAGTGCTCACCAGCGAGTGAGTCTGTGTGCTGGCTCCACAGGAGAGTGATTGATTCTCTAGCCACCGTCCACCCCACCAAGTTGAGCCAAGAGAGTCCTCACTAATTTCTACTGCCAGCTATCATGGAATTCCTCTTCTCAGCAAAGTAACTCTGGACTGGGGAGCTCCCGTGGGGCCAGAGGGACCCTCCCCAACAGGAGAAGCCTCTCAGCCACTGAGGTATCCCTCACAGGGTTCGCCCTCTCTCTGTGGGCCAAGAGTCAGCCTGCCTCACGTCTCTGTCCCTCCTACCAGTCTCGACGTGGCCTCTTCTTTAAGTCCTTCGTTTAGAAGTTCTGTTTATCTAGTGTTCAGATGACTTCCGAGGTTGAATGTTGTATAAATTATTGACAATTTTGGTGTGATCCTGGGAGGCAGTTGGCATAGCACTATCTCAGCTCCGCCCTCTGTATTACAATTTTAATACAGTTTTTTCCTTTCTTAAAATGTGTGTATACACATTTTTGGCACCCTCTATTTGTGTGTGTGTAGACGCGCACATGCACGCTTCTGCGCTGTGTGACAATTAAGTTTGCGAAATTGTAGCAATGATATTGCTAATCTTTTTTTATATCAGAGGGATTATTCATTATGAATTTGTACCAACTGGACAAACAGTTAACCAAGTTTACTATTTGGAAGTACTGAAAAAGCTAGACGGCCTGCACTTTTTGGCAATTTATGGCTTTTGCATCACGACAATGCACCAACACACACGACACTGTCTGTGAGGGAATTTTTAGCCAGTAAACAACTGTATTGAAACATCCTCCCTACCACCTGATCTAGTCCCCAATGACTTCTTTCTTTACCAGAAGATAAAGGAAATATTGAAAGGAAGACATTTAGATGAAATTCAAGACATCAAGGGTAACACAATGACAGCTCTGATGGCCATCCCAGAAAAAGAGTTCCAAAATTGCTTTGAAGGGTGGACTAGGCACTGGTGCATAGCTTCCCAAGGGGAGTACTTCAAAGGTGACCATAGTGATATTCAGCAATGTGGTATGTAGCACTTTTTCTAGGATGAATTCATGAACTTAATTGTCAGATCTTCGTGGCGCGTGCATGCGTGTGTGTGTGTGTGTGTGTGTGTGTGTGTGTGTGTGTGTGTGTACAGACTTAGAACTTAAGAAATAGAATATTACTGCCATAGCTCATTCACACTGCTAAAACAGAATCCATAGACTAGGAGGCATATAAACAACAAACATTTAGTTGTCACAGTTCTGGAGGCTTGGAAGTCCAAGATAAAGGCAACAGCAGATTCGGTGAGAGCCCACTTCCTGGTTCATAGACTGCCATCTTTTTGCTGTGTGCTCACATGATGGAAGGGGCAAAAGACTCTGGGGTCTCTTTTATAAGAACTTTAAACCCATTCATGAAGGCTCCATCCTCATGACTTCATCACCTCCCAAAGTCCCCACTTCCAAATATTATCACTTCAGGGATTACGTTTCAACATATGGATTTGAAGGGGGACACAAACATTCAGTCTATAGAAATTATCAACATTTCAAATTCTTTGTACTTCTCCCTATCCCATCCCCCTCTCTATCCCAGTAGTAATCATTATTCGAAATTTTATTTATCATTCCCTTGATCTTCTTTATCATTTTGATATATATCCCTAACATATATACACATATGTATCTCCTGAAATAATACATTATTTTGTTTTTCATGTTTTTCAACTTAGTGTAAATGGAAATGGAACTCCATTTTATTTTTCTTCATAGCACTTCTCACTAATGAACATTTATTTTCTTATTTATTTATTTGTTTATGGTCTGGCTCACCCTCTCCCTCACAGCTCCTTGGAAACAAAAATGTATGTCATGGGGCCGGCCAAGTGGCGCGTTGGTTAAGAGCTGGCTTGGGACTCCAGAGGGCCCTGGTTCGGATCCCACATATGAGGGCCAGTGACACTGCCCTCTACAGCTAAGATGCTGAACAACAGCTCAACCTGGAGCTGGGCTGCCATGAGTCGACCACGATGGCGTAGGCTGCAGCCCCTGCTGCAGTGGGTTGCCATGGGCTACCATGTGTAGCCAGCAGCCAGCGTGAGCGGCCAGCAGCCGCCGTGAGCAGCCGTCCAGAAGCCGGCGACTGATCTGCCTCGCCCGGGAAGAGCGCAATGATGGTGCCAACTTGGGCCAGTGAAGTAACATCCTCCACAACTAGACTGAAGAACAAAAGGACAGCAACTTGTGTGTTCCCCTTCCCCCAATTCCCCAGCGCTGTTCCCATCCCCCAATTCCCCAATTAAAAAAAATAAAAATAAAAAAATTTTTAAAAAAAGAAAAATGAGTGCAGAAGTTCTGAGGTAATATTAAACGTAGCTTAAAAATAATAATAGGGCCGGCCGAGTGGTGGCTCGGTTGGTTAAGAGCTCACTCAAGAGTGTGAACTCTGAGCAACAGAGTTGACGGTTCAATTGCTGGCCTGAGCTGAGATGCTGCTGAGCTGCCAACAATTTGGCTCAGCTAAATAATAATAATAATAATAATAATAATAATAATAATAATAATAATAATAAATAAATGTAGTTGGCCCATGGAGCAATGGAAAAAGCATCAGGCTCAGCAAACTTAGGAATCTGGCTCTGTCACTTGTCAGCTGTGTTCCTACGAACAAGGCTCAACCTCTCTCGAGTTTCCAATTCCTCATCTGCAAAATGGGGATACTATTACAGGATGGTTAATTATGAAGGTTAAATGAGTGCATGGATGAAAATATATTGAACAGTAAGTGCAAAAAAATGATACTACAAACTATCATCAACATCTTAAGGCCAGGAAAGTCTTTGCAAATTAAACATCTCCACAAAATTCTTTCCCTACTTCCTCCTCCAGTTTAAATTTTATATTATAAACATACTTCACTTTAAAAATGGCACCCATCTTCTCTAATTAGCTTTCTCCTCAAGAGACAGTACAGTTTTATTTTATTGAGATATGCTTCACATACAGTAAAATTCACTTTTTAAAGTGTACAATTCAATTGTTGTTATTACATTCACAATGTTGTACAACCATCATCCTATATAATTTCAGAACATTTTCGTCACCCAAAAAGAAATCCCCTACTCATTAGCAGTCACTCCCCATTACTCTCTCCTCTAGTCCCTAGCAACTACTAATCTGCTTTCTGTTTCTATGGATTTGCCTAGTCTAGACATTTCACATGAAGAGAATCATACAATATGTGGCCTTGTGTCTGATTTCTTTCACTTAGTATGCTTTCAATGTTTATCCATGTTGTAGCATGTATGAAGTGTGCTCAAACAACACAGTGAATGTTTAAATAAAAAAATTATTACAGTAAAAGACACATTGCCATTATTCCCCCCTCAAAATACTCCCCCTTGCCTCTCACACACTTATCCCATTGTTCTTGCCACTTTCTGAAGCAGTTCTGGAAGTCCTCTTTCGTGAGTATCTTTAGTTGCACTGTCGTGGCTGCCTTGATGTCCAATGTCCTGAATCGATTCAAAATGTTTACTTTCATGATCATTTTGACTTTGGGGAAGAGCTAGAAGTCACATGGTGCCAGATCTGGTGAATAAGGAGGATGAGGACACACCACGATGTTTTTATTTGGCAGAAATAGCCATCCCAGAAGTGATGTGTGAAACAGAGCGTTGTCATGATGGAGGATGAAGTAAAGGCACTCACAAAAGAGGACTTCCAGAACTGCTTCAGAAAATGGTGAGATCAATGGGATAATTATGTCCGAGGCGAGGGGGAGTATTTTGAGGGGGATTAATGGCAATGTGTCTTTTACTGTAATAAATTTTTTTAAATTTAAACATTCACTGTACTGTTTGATCAGTACTTCATTCCTTTTTTAGAACTAGATAAAATTCCTTTGTATGGATATGCCACATTTTATTTACCCATTCTTCAGTTTATGGATATTTTAGTTGTTTCCATTTCAGGGGTAATATGAATAATTGTTATATTTGTGTACAGTTATTATGTGAATATATGTTTTTAATTCTCTTAGGTATATATCTAGGAGTGGAATTGCTAAGCCATGCAGTAACTCCCTATTTGACTTTTCCAGGAGCTGATGTTTCCCACTACGGCTGAACCATTTTATTGTACATTCCCATCACCAATGTATATTGACTCCAATTTCTCCACATCTTCCCCCATGTACTTATTTCTAGAATTGTTTTTCATTTTACCTCACCAACACCACCTGTCACATTAGTATTGCAGCAGGTTTAGAAATTAAAACAAAAATTCCTATGTGACACTCAGATATTAAAAAGTAACCCCAAAGTATTGCTTCTAATTTTTCCTGGCAGAGAATATTCAGTATTGAACTGTATTGCCTATCGGCATACTCAAATTTCCCTTGAACCGTTCCTCACAAAATCCTGTCAGGAAACACCGTTTGGGGAAACAAATCCCTGTCTTAAAGAGAGCTGTCTGGAGTACGCAGAAGAGTAGCATTTGAAAAGCTTTTCACATGCCTTCACTTCACTTCACTCTAGGCTCTTCTCGTGGTCACATTCATGGGCCGTCTCACCCAAGCAAAGCCCGTTCCCCTCCCACACGTATTAGGCGCGCAGGCGCACAGCCTCAGCCCGCCTTCCTCCCTCCGGCCCCGCCCCTTCAGGCCCTTCCCTAAGCCAACACTCTCGCTACCTCCTCGCACTCTGGGGCTGAGGGGCGGGAGATGGGTGTTCGCTTGTGACTCGGAGAACTGGCTTTCCGCACTGGCTGATTAAGTCTGATGACGTAGTCAAGCTCCAATCCACATGCTGGGGGCAGGACTAAAATCCGGCGGCGCAGGGTAGGAGGAGCTAGCCTGGTGGAAGCACGTGACCTGGGTCTGGAGCCGGAAGCTACCTATCTCGTCTGGAGCTTCCCCAGCACCTAAGGCTGAGATGGTGAGTGGGGACGCATGCGCGAGTACGCGTTAGGGGTTCCATGTCCCTGTTCCCCAATCTCTTTGAGTACCCGTTCCTGGGCCCGCACTCCGTCCTCACCTCTTCGCCCCGGGACAGAGAGGGACAGGAGATGGGAGGGGTGGCGACGTAGAGAGCTGAGGAGGGATCTGTGGGAGGGTGTACGGGGGGCAGGGGAGCAGTCTGCGGACGAGGGGTGGGCCACTTGGGGAATTGGAGAGGTGGCGAGAGAGAGAGGGTCCAGTGGGCTGCGAAGGTCTCCGGTGGTAGTAAAGGTGGGATCTGAAAGACCGAGGGAGCCCAGAGGCAGATGGTGAGGTGGTAAACAAGATGGAGATTCAGGAAGATGAGTATCGAAGGCCATGTAGAGGGAAGAGGGTCTGGAAGAGCCCTGACTGGGGAAAGAGAAGGCCTGGGGGTGGGGAGTACTGTCATGAGAGACTTGGGTTGCAAGTGAAGAGTATGGAGGGCCATCCTAGCACGCTTATCCCTGATTGCATCTTTACACACTAGACTTCTGCACTGACCCAGGGGCTGGAGCGAATCCCAGATCAACTCGGCTACCTGGTGCTGAGTGAAGGCGCAGTGCTGGCGGTGCGTTCTGGGCAAGGGAAGGGGTCCCCCCCAAGTACACATGGCCCTGTGATACCTTCTAAAATTGCCTAGTTTAGCCGAATTTCCCGCTGTTCTTCGTTTTATTGGTATTATACCTGGCATATAGTAAGATTTCAGTAATTAATCTCTGGAATCTTAATGTGGTAACTGTACTGGGGTAAAAGGGTTTACCAACTTTACCAAAGTCAGACAATTGGCTACAAGTTTGTTGATAACTATTATTACCTGGGTTATTCTCGAATATGTCTTTATTTGGTATTTATTAAAGAAGGTTTGTATTTTATTCCATAATACAATATAGGGTTAGCTCTCTAGAAGTTTTCAATCTAGCTAGAGACAAGGCTTAAGGTTAAAAGTTGAAAGCAATAGAGTAGTAAAGACTACTGAAGGAGTCCAGAAAATGGAAGGATTCAACCCTTCGTGTTTTAACTTGTGTTATGACAAGAAAACCTTCTTGGAGGACGTAAAAATTCAGCTGGGCTTAAAGGATGCCCATGGTTGTGAACAGGCAGAAAAGGAGAGTATACAGGATGTAATCGCGGGAGTATGACATCAGCCTGTCTGAAATAGTGGATTTGTGTTGAAAAGAATTTGGAAAGGTTTGGGGGAAGAGGATATGGTAAGGCAAGATCTCCTTGTGGAGAACTTTCAAGGCCAGGTGAACACATTTGGGTTAATCTTGAGGATAAAAGGAGCTTTGAAGGATATTTGAACAGAAACATGAGCTGATGAAATAGTTGAGCAAGATTGTTCTATTAAGTGTGAAGGTGGGCCAGAAGGGGCAGGATTCAGAAGCAGAGAGGCTGCTACGGAAATCTAGGTATGAGACTGAGCTGGTGGCAATGAGGAGCAAGGAGAGAAAAGAATTTAAAGACTAAAAATGTCTTGGTAATGACTAGAGATACTTCCATCCAGTAAGACTGAACTCAAGCCCAGAATGATAGTGCCTTAATAGGAAGTTATTAAAGGAAGTTGATTGGGGAAAGGGAGAGGTAAGGGGAATTTTGATGGCTTGACTTTAGACATTGAGTTTGACATAGAATAACAGCAGTTAATATGTATTGCTAGTAACTGTTATAAGCATCTTGCCAGTATTATCTCACGTAACCCTCACAAGCCCGTAAGATAGGTACTGTTGTCTCCAAGTTACAGGTGAGGAATCTGAGGTACACAATGTCCAAGGGAGCAAAGGGCACTGAATTAACCTAGTGAGAGGCCCATATTGAGGTAGGAAGAAGTTGCAACAGTCACCAGAAAAGAGGAAGCCCAGGCCACTGTCACATCATTACCCAAGGGCTAGGCAATAGGGAGGGGTTCAAGGACAAAGGGGATGTTTGTTTCAGATTCTGCAGACAAGGTAACAAGTGGGAAGACTGAGGAAAAGCAAGCAGCCTTGAACAAGTCAGTGGTGGGTGGGAACTGATTCTCAGAATATGATTTTACAAATAAGTGGGGACAGGGAGAGATAACGAGTTTCAAGGGATTAGGAAAGAATGGTTAGTAAAGAAATGGATGAGTCACTGCTCATCGGGGAAGCCCAGTATAAGGATGAGAAGCGATGGCATCAAGAAGGGCAACATCATAGTCAAGTTTTAGGTTTGTCTTTCCAAAACTGGGGTGACCTGGGGGTTGCCAGGAACTGGTGAGCGAGGGAATACCAATGCTAGAGCCAGAGTGACTGTTCCCTAGTAATTCCCAATTCTGTTCCCTAATTTCTGCCATCCTCTTTCCTCCATCTACATCCAGTCATCTGGGGATCTAGAGAATGATGAGCAGGCAGCCAGTGCCATCTCTGAGCTGGTCAGTACAGCCTGTGGTTTCCGGCTGCACCATGGCATGAACATACCCTTCAAGCGCTTGTCAGGTGAGCCCTAACCCCCGCCCCTGGTAGTGGTGATAGGAAGTGGGGTGCTCCCAGAGGTGGGGTGCTCTCCTCAGGGAAAAAACACTTGTCTCCTAACCACCTCCCACCATCTCCCCTTGGGTTCCCTGGTTCTGGCCACTTTCTTCCCTTCGGAATTCAACACTGCATCAGAAGTATGAGAAAACAAGAGAAGGAAGGGGATTGAATGGAGATCTTCCATCTTCAGATCTCTGAGCCTTGAAACCATAAGATTTCTTTGGCTTTCGTCCCAGCCAGTTTGTGTGTGACCCGATGGAGGCCACTGCACTCCACTAACTCTGTGTTCCCTTCCTTCTCCCGGGTGGGGGAAGGTATGTCTCCCCTCCAGTGGTCTTTGGAGAACACACGCTGCTGGTGACTGTGTCAGGACAGAGGGTGTTTGTGGTGAAGAGGCAGAACCGAGGCCGGGAGCCCATTGATGTCTGAGCCTGCCAAGGGCGAGGGGCAGAGGTGTATTGGGTCCATGAGCCTCTGTGATGAGGAAGATGCAAACTTCTTCCACCTTTTTCTTGGCCTGCTGCTTGAGCTAAGGCTTTCTGTTCACCCACTGCCCCACCCCTGTAACCTGGAAGGGCAGAGGCTTGAGGACCCTGTGCTGTGTTAAGGATAGTGAGGACAAGGGGACCTCCTTCTTTCTTCCCTCCTAATAAACATGAATCTGATATTCTCAGGGCCAGGGATGTGTGTATTGGTGTGTGTGTGTGTGTGTGTGTGTGTGTGTGTGTGTGTGTGTGTGTGGCAGGGGGTTACACCCCATGTCTTATACTTTCTAGGGAGAAAGTCAAAATTCATGTATCTCAGCCCAGAGGGGTGGAGCTAGCCATCTCTGGGCGTATCAAACTGGGAATCCAAAAGAAAAAAAAAAAAGTGGGAAGGGAGCTGAGGGAAGCTATTTGGTACGTATGCTGAAGGGAATCATTCTGAGTCCCTAGGTCTCTGTTCCTGCCACCAACACACAAACCACATTCTTCTCCCTCCTGAACAGGCATTTAATAGTCTTATTTCAGTTGGAAGCAGTAGTTGGAGAATAAGTTACTGGAACAGACAAAAAAAAGAAAAAACCCCACACAACTTAAAGTGCTTCAGGCTGCAAACGTAAACATGAGGAGCAGGAGGAGGCCACCTAGCTATATCATCCCTCACCCCTGATACAGGAGGGTCATTGTCAGGGTCCCTTTACCATCACCACCCTCTAATCTCAGCCCTGGGGTGGGTGGGTGGGTGGGAGGGAATGTCAAAGGTGGGAAAGAAAACTTAATAGGAATGAGAAGACAGTTTGTAAACTTAGAACCAGGGTACAAGGCAGGGGGCAAGGGAGCTCTTGGAGCCCTTGCCCTGGCCAAGGGGAGGGGCCAGCCCTCCCTCAGGAAATACTGTTGGCATAGTGCTGCAGCCATACCCGCCCATTTCACAGCTTCTTCCCTCATCCGCAGACACAGACAGGCAGCCTGTTGGGGCCTCCTCACCCACAGTGGGAGGCAGCCTTGGGGAGGCACAGCCTAGAGCGAGGACCCCCTCTGGGGGCGCTGGGTTTCTGGGAGTGTAAGGGAAAGGAGTCAGCATGGTGCTACTTGACGGGCTCCACCACCAGGACCTTGCACTCACGCTTGGCAATCTTGTCCAGAGAGAGCACAGCCTTGTCCGGGGGCAGGTAGAGGGGGCGGCCAACAGGGGAGGCCACAGGGGGTGTGATGGCCCTGCGCTCCATCACACTGCCCGACCTGGGGGAAGGCAGATGCTTTGGGCGCTGGTTAGACCTCAGGACCCCTTCCTGCTTCCTCTCCAATTCTGGCCTCTATGGAGTCCAGTGGCACCCCTCCCGAAGTTCCATACCTCATGAGGTGGCTGCGGGAAGGCTGTTGGTGGGAGAAGGACTGCGAGCGGCCCAGGCTAGCCTGGTGCCTCTCTACCAAGTCCCGGACAGCAGGGCTGCTGGGGCTGCTCTTGCGAGAGAGGGGCCGGGCCTCAGGCGGAGGGTGGGACACGCTGGCAGTAAACTGCAGCTTCAGTTTCATATGCTGGCTCAGCTGGGATGGAGAGACACCAATCAGCATTTCCACTCAGGTTCTAGGCCCCAGGCCTCCTTTCAAATCATCTTCCCCCTTGACAGGCCAATGTTGGATCTAAATTCTACCTTCCCTCTGCCTGGCTTTTTAGTACCACCCATTGTAGAAGCTAGCGGCCCTGCCGCCTCCTACGTCGACATTCTGAACTACCCACCATACCGCCCAACCCCTCCCCAGCCCACCTCAAAGAGCCCCGTCCTTAGAGCCTGGAAGGCCACACTGAAGGTGAGCACACTGCCCTTCCGGGAAAAGCCAAGGTTGTTGAGGGGTGTGTGGCAGACAATGGAGTCTAGGGCAGCTTGCATGGCTCGGCGCTCCTCCTCACACAGCTGCTTTCCTGGGGGGCAGAAAGAGCAACCAGTAAACATCTGTACAGTGTCCCTCAGTTCACAAAGGGCCTCCATGAACAGTCTCTTTTGATCTTCAAAGCCACCCTGTGGAATAATCTAAGTATATCTTTTGCCTATTTTATAAATAACAGCTAATATTGACTGTCAGCTGAGGTCTATTCTAACCACTTCACATACATTAAATCTTGAATGCACCATAATAACCCCATGAAGTATTATTTTTTCTATTTTAGAGATGAGAAAGCAGAAGCTCAGAGAGGTTAAGTAACCTACCCATGGCCACACAGCTAGTAAATGGCAGAGGTAGAAATCAAACATACCCGGGAGCCCAGCTCCAGTGTTAGTGCCCTTAAATCATTCTGCCATGAGACCACCCAGGTACAGAGCCAAAGCAGCCTGCTACAAGTCACCTACCTCTATGACTTCTTCCTTTCCCCTCCCCTTCTTTGGGACAGCCTGGCAGCAACCTACCAGCCTGCGCGTGCTCTGGGGTCCACACGAGCCTCACAGCAAGGAAGTCTTGGAGATTGTTAAGCAGCGTGTAGGTGACAGTGAAACGCTCGTAGGTCTGAACAGGGGACTCACATGAAGCAGTCATCACAAAGCACGGGCGGTCCAGGCGGATGCTGGGCAGGCTAGAAGCAGTGAGAGAGGAAAACAGGATGTGTGTGTGAGTTGCAAAACAAAGGTGAACAGGACGGTGCCGCAGGGGTTCCCACATACTCACCGGTAGTGGGTGTAGATGCTCTGTGTGAAGGGCAGCTTCGGGGTGGACCACTGAACCACAGCAATCAGGGGGACTTCTAGGCCCTGTGGAACAGACAAAGGAAACCATCACATGTATCAGAGGTTGTCCCCTCTCATCTTTAGTCACCCCCCTGCCCTTTCCCTCCTACTGCTTTTTCTTAACCCTTTTCCTTGAACACACCAGCCCCTTCTACTTACCTCCTTGCCCCCTGGAGGTGGCTGCTCACCCCCTCTCAGCTGAAACAGGAAGTTGTGTTCCTCCAGGGCACTGAGTGGGCAGGGGAAGCAGCCAGAGGTACCAGGGAGCCGACAGAAGGAGCCCATGGAGACCTCCCCAGATTGGTGACTAGCTCAAAAGAAGGGGACAGAGCTGGATCTTCCATGCCAGAGCTCTCAGCCCTGCCCCCATCCCCACCACTTCAAAGGCTGTCCCTCCCCAGGACCTCACCAGACATTGTCCACCAGCAGCACAGAGCCATCAGGCATGACAGGTAGATAACTGGCATTGAAGTTTGGGAGAATGCGGATATCCCGGATGGAAATTTCCTCTTGGGACGAGCTGTTCAGCACTGTCAGAGGTAACCAGCTCAGCTCAGAGTAATATCTGGACCATAAGACCCCACCTTAATCCCCCCAAAATGGACCTATCCCTACCAGCCTGCACAGAATAACTGCCTCCCAGTCAATGCCCTTGCTGCTACCCAAGACCTGGGCCACCGATATGCTCACCCTTGAGAACGGTCAAGTGTTTTCCAGCCACAGTGAACTGGCGGCATTTCAGAACTGGAGGGGGCAGCAGAGTCAGCAGGGTGCTCACTGCAGAAGAGGGCGGAGGCAAGAACTGATAGGCTGGGCACAGACCTCACCTCTAACCCACAGTTCTAATCTTCCTCTTCTCAGATCAGGCACTTGATCAGGTGATATTGATCACCCCTCCACTCTGTTCCCCAGGTTCCAGACTAGCATTTTCTCCCCACCTTGGGCCTTGAAAGCGCTCTGCTCGCCCCGGAAGGTCTCCCCAGGAGATCGGGTCTGCAGCAAGCGCAGGTAGCCTTGATCTCTGACCTCTGGTGCCTCAACCTCCCGTTTCCACACGGTCACTACAATCTGAGCAAAGGGGACACAGGACCATAGTTGAAAGGAGAGACAGCTAGCCAGCCTTAGAAAGAGCATCTGAATTAGGACAACAGCTCCACCCCTTGCCAATCTTACCTTGGCTTTAGGTGTCCCTGGGGGCAGTCTATCCAGTGAAACAGTGAGTGGGAAGATGACCTCATCTGTGGACACGATTGGTTCCTCCACAGGCAGCTGGGGAGGGGGGGGGGTGAAAAGAGGAGAAGAGGTCAAGAGAAAGGCAGCCCGCCGCGTTCCCTTTAAGATCTGCGGTGCGTGGTTGCCCTCCCCTCTCTTCATCCGTCATCTGCCTCCTGTTTCCCTCCAGCGTCCCTCTCCTCTGTCTTAGGAGCCCAGCAAACCTCCCCGCCGCCCTGTGCCGTGTCACCCCAGCTCCTCACCGTGGTCGCTCCCCCTGAGGTAGCAGGGCCCGGGCCGTGGGTGAGAAGGGGGCTGCAGCCTCGAAACAACCCCCCACCGCCAGGATCCCCGCCCCCTGGAGGTTCAGGATCCTGGTCGCCAAAGCCACCGCCACCGGGCGCCCCGCCTCCGGCGCTGACCGAGGCCAGGGCGGCCAGTGCGGTCGCCAGTTCCGCCCAGGCCCCACGGGACCCCAAGCCTGGGCCACCCCCGACGCCGGAGCCCGCGCTGCCCCGGCAGCGCAGCACCAGCAAGAAACGGACAGTCTCCCCCAGGTAGAGATGGTTGCGCCGGGGCAGCGTCCGGTACCGGCCTGGGTCCCCCGCCAGCTCCGCGCGCGGCGGCAGCGGCACAGCCGGGAAGTACATCGAGTAGTCGCACTGGGACTCCATGGGGCGGCGAGGACTGCACGGACCGGGGACGAAGTGGGCCGGGGCGGCAGAGAGCGAGGGACTGCTGGGGTGGGTCCGGGGAGTCCCGACACCTGACGGGGGCTGCGCGCGGCCGGGTCGGTCCAAGAGACCCGCCGGATCCGGGAACCGGCGCAATGAACTCGGAACCGAGGCCCCGCGGGGCCGGAACCGGGTGCGGGGCCGAATGACTGGAGAAAATCCGGAAGCGGAAGGGGCGTGGCCTCTGAGGCCCCGGAATTTGCGAATGACCGGACCCTGGAGGAGATGGGCGGGGTTCGGCTGGTGGTAGGCTGCAGCAAGAAGGATTTAGGAGACATTACAGACAGACTTCCTAAAAAAGAGATATTAAAGCACCCCCTCCAACCCCGGTTCTCCCAAGAAAATGCTCCATCCCCTCCCCTTTCCTCCCTACATAAAGCAAGTCCAAGTTTGAAATTATTTATTCATTCAACAAATATTTCATAGTGAAATGAGCATAGCTCAGTAACAAATATTTCATAGAGAAATGGACGCATTATTCCAATCCACTGAATCCCAAACTTGCTCTGGCATACACCATGGTTTGCTCCTCCAGGGAGCCTTGGAGAGTGTTACACGGACCTGCCAGGGTACTGGAAAGGTGAAGGGGCAAAATGCTGGTTGGGGTTGCTGCTAGCTGCTGAATGACTGGATTCCTTGGCACAGGCTTGGAGGACTTTGGGCCCACATCCGTGCAAAGTTCCATTTGTCCTCTAGGGAGCAGACTTGCTTTCTGAAGGAAGCAGAAATGTCATCTGGCTGCCCCACATTCATCACTTGTGTCCTTGTAGCTTAGCTGCGTTTTCAAGCTAAGACTTAGTGGTCTAATGTTTAGGGGGAGAGTAGCCTTGAAGTCTTGAGGGGCAGAGTGACTGTTGGGGGGAACTGCTTGGCATCTAGCTTGTCTTTGTACTGTAGCTCAGGGGTGGCCAGGCGCTCACACTCCTCCCTGTCTTGGAGGCTCAGTCCACTCTGAAGTACATAGCCCAAAACCTTACCTGACCCAAACTGGAAAGGGCGGAACCGCAGGTCAGTGATGTATTTGGGGTCTAAAGCCTCACCCCCCACCAGACAATGTTTAGCCAGGGCCTCTCGGCGAGCCCGGAGCTCTGCCACTGCACTCTCCAGCCGGTTCTGGCCATATTGCTTTATTCGTGCCCACAGACTGTGGTTGAAGTGAACATAAAGAGCCCAGTCCAGGTTGTTCCAGGCTCGGGCCCGTGCAGTCAGCTGCCTATTCTCAGTCATCAGTCCACCATCGCTGACAGCGCTTCTGCCCTGCTCACTTCCAGCCTGGGCATTGTGCATGAAGCCCACCACATCATCTAGACCCCAGCACAGGGCATCTGCCAACAGAACCAATGACTCGTCAAAGTACTCGGCCACCAAGACCAGGTCAAAGACAGAGTCCAGCCAGGCCAGACTCCATTGGATGAAGGATGAAGACCCCAAATCTAAAGTGGTAGGGCTGGCTGTTTGGCTGTGACCATCAGCAGCAGTGGGAGCAGGATGGAAGAGAGCATTGGGATCCAGGGTATGGACTCGAGGGCCAGCACCAGAAGGCAGGACATGCAGTTGTGGGGGATTAGCGTCTCTGGCGGGATGAGGATTTCCTCTCTTGGTCCTCATCTCTGGGGGGAAAGGGAGGCCAAAGTCAAACCATAGCAAGTTGCGTGCGTAGTGGTCCCCACGGGCCCCAGGCCGGTAGAAGGCTCGAGGATTGGCCAGGAAAGCAGCCAAGGAAGGTGCTTTGCGGAAGGCTGATGAGGTGGATTTATAGTAGGAGAAGGCAGAGCGGGCCAGAGCTGCTGGGTCTCGGACAATGGAAAAGAAGAAGCTGTCAGAAGGCATGACCTGAAGAACCTGCAGAGGAGGAAAAACATACAGGGAGAAATAACTGGGCCAGGAAGAAACTAAGTGCAAGCCCAATGCCCACAGATCCCCTAGCCTCCTCAGACCTCCTCTTGGCAGCTCTAATAGGAACCCTTACCCCCCCACCCACCACCATCTTCTTTCACTAACTGATAGATCTTGGGCCAGTTACTTAATGCCTCTGAGAACAGTTTGCTCATCTTCAAAATGGGGATAATCATACCCTCCTCTCAGCTGATTATGGAGGTTGCATGGGATAAAGGAACCTGGAACATAGGAAGCTCCTAGAGAATTTATTTCCTTGGGCCTTTTTCTCTGCCTTGGTCAGTAAAACTTCTAGGAATCAAACTTTGTGTTCATTTCTCCAACAAAAAACTATTAAGTACCTACCTTGGGACTCTTGATCACAACTCCAAGAAAGGAACTGGCCTCAGGCCTCCTGGGGAGGGTGGGAGGTGGGTCACAGGCAGCAAAGAGGGAGGAAAGGGGGCAACCATAATGTCTCAGGTATAGGTGTCAGGTGGGCAGACAAACACAAGATGGCTAAAGGACAGGGCACTTCTAGGGTTCCTGGGCATCTTGGAGAGCAAAAGACATCCCTGGACTAGACAGTGGGGAGCCAAGGCCACTTGGTAAGGGGCTTCTCTGAGGCCTGGGACATTTGATCACACTTCTTAGCAAGAAGGAATGTAGGAATTGGGCTGAGCCAGGCAGATCCATGTCAGAAACCAGCTTCTGGGCTCCTGGAAGGGTTTTTGCCTCTGAACATGACGCCTGTCGTTGAACCTGACTCCCTGACATGATGTCCTTCAATTTGATCTGCTAATATGGGCATGCCTGCAGGGCAGAGCCTGTGAACTGTGTGTCTCTTTGAAGGCAGAGAAGAACAGTGCAGAGAATGGTCTGTGGCATCAGGCGGACCTGGAATAAAATCCCAGTTCAGCTATTTACCAGTTATGTAACTTTGGGCAGGTTACTGAACTTAGAGACTTCATTCCTCCATCTATAAATCTGTGTTAACATTTACCTTGTAGAATCTGGAAATAGATGGAAGATGATAGGTATTCAATGAATGGTGGTGACAACAAAGGTCATTATCCTAACCTCCAGAGAAACCTCCCTCAAAGACTGTTGCCATCGCCTCACTCCTAGCAGTGGCCCCTTTGCTAACCATTAGATCACACTCATGCTCCGCAGCCACTTCCTCCAGCTCCAGCTTCAACAGGAGTGTGCTTTAGCCCCCACTGAAGTTCTACCTCCTATACATACTCCCCTCTTACACACACCACCACCACCACCATCTTTGCTGATATTTTGCTCCCTCTTAAGTATGCCTGATGTTCTCCTTACTAAATACAAAATCATGTCCACCCTTTCCGTTAAAACCTACCTCTCCAGAAAGCCCCACCTCTTTTGATGAATATTCTTCCCACAGTTCCAAATACAAACATACACATGCACACTTGCCACAGAAGGTGCTTTGACTTTGGAGCAGACAGGCCTGGGTTTAAATCCAGTTAACAGATACCAGTCACTTATCCTCTCTGAGGCTCTATTTCCTCATCTGTATAATGGAAACTCTTACAACGCCTTCCTGGCAAGATGATGGTGAGATTAATACCCAGCACTCAAGAAGTATTCAATAAAAGTCCCTTCCCTGTATGTTTTCATTTGCACATTGACTTTCTCAGAGAGCTCTCAGGTTCCTGTGTGTGTGTACAGATGAGCATGTGAGTGCATGTACCCATCTCCCCCTTTAGAAGTGAGGCTTTAAGGGTGTCAGGGTTGGGCTAGGGCTTGGCATATACCTGATCCTCAAAATCTGGCAAACATGGTAAGGGGAGTGAGAGGAGATGGGTCAGAGGGCAATGGCTGAGCAGAGGTCCTGGTAGTGCCAGTGGAAGGGGCCAAGAAGGGCCAGGGGCATCTGAAGGGAGAGTTTGGGGTGGGTGGGTGTGACAGTATTCAGAGTTGGCAGGACACTGACGCCAGCAGGATAAATTGGTCAAGAAAGGAGACTGAGTAAGCTCCGGATGGGAGAGAGCAGGACTTCAGCTCTCAGAAACTACTGAGGAAGGGACAGCTGAGGAAAGGGGATCGGTAAACCTCACCTTTGTGGTCCCAATGCGCATTTTGGGTGAAATGATGCCTGGGGAACCCCCAGGCCTGGGGCCTCCTCCCCTGATGGTCTTGTCCACAGACCTGATGCCTCTCTCTCCAAGCCCACCCACCCCCTCTACACCCTCTCACCTCTTTCAGGTTGAACCTCATGTGATGACATAGGATGTCAAAGTGGGGCTGGGTGCTTCCACCCTGAGGGTGGTAGCCTTTGACCCGAGAGGCCTGGAAAAGCCTTGGGTAGCCGAACTGGTAGCGGGCAGGGAGGGCAAAACGCAGCCCATGTCGGTCTCCATAGCGATGAAGCAGGCTTAATACAGAGCTGCTCCCAGATTTGTGCGTCTTCAGGAACACCAGTCGCTGCCGGGGAGGGCAGGATGGAACAGCTGGCCCTGGGGATGGGACCCAGTGCTGTCGGAGCTGCAGCCCAGGTAGCCTGGGGAGAAACAGGAGGGGAAGTGTCCTGTCCCTCACCAGAAGGTGGATGGGTGTCTAGTGGAGCAAGGACAGAGGGTGTGGAGTTCCCAGGAGTCGTAGCTCCAGGTGGGATTGGGAGGAGCAAGTGGGGGGCATCTATGGGGCGCTGGGACAAGATGAAACTCACCTCCTCTGGAAGGGCCCCCCCCAGAGCTGGAGGGCAAATCCGATGGTCATGAAGACTCCCAGAGCCACCCCCAGGCTCCGAGGCCCCCAGAGGCGCATGGTCCTGGTAGGAGACAGAGGGCCCATGTGGCAGAGGGAAAGGTGACAGGGCAATGGCCAGGCACAGAGGCAGAGACAGCTTGAGATAGCCGTGCAGCCACAGAAGGCGCAGGTTCAAGATCAGGGGTCATTCCCCAAGCCTGCTTGCAGCCCTGGTTGAGTCTGCCCCCTGAGTTAGCAGATTTTTGTCTCTGTCAGCGTCTAGAAGGGAAATGAGGGGAAGGAGGGGAGTCTGAGGAGAGGGTAGAGCCTTCTCTCCTGCTGCTGCAGCTGAGACCTAATTCATGCAGGGGGCTGGCTGTGAGAGGGGTGTGCTCTCTATACACATATATTCTAGGTGGCCCCACAACTACTCCTTTGCTGTCAGCCTCTATCTCCCCCAACCCCCACCTACAGTTTCTCCCTGGGAGAAAGACAGAGACCCTGCAAAAAAGATCAGACCAATGTGCTCATAAGACACTGATGAGGACATCACCAGGCCACTGACTTCCTCATCAGCCTCTCTGATAAATCGGGGTGAAGAGCCCCATTTGGAGGCTGAAATGGGTAGCCATGAGAGAATGCGGGTCAGATGAACCAAGGGAGGTGAGGCCACAGGAGTGAGTGTAATGAGTAAGAGCCATCTGGTCTAAACTCAGGCATCTCTTTCCCCTCTTGGCACAGGGCAGTCCCCAGTGTGGAAGGGGCTGGGGGATACGTGGGGTTATTTATAAAACCCAGTTCCCACAACACAGCCCCACACACCCCCGTTCTCACTTTCCAACCCCATCAGTGCACCCAGAGATTGAGAGAGTGGGGCTAGGGGGAGGGAGGGAGGGAGGGAGAGAGAGAGAGAGAGAGAGAGAGAGAGAGAGAGAGAGAGAGAGA